GCTAAAAACTCCCTTCTTAAAAACTGGTAACAGAATCCCTCCAAGGTGGAGGGATCTATTCAGAGAAGCACCATGGTTGATACGTTTGGAAGAAAAATGAAAACTATCACTTCCTGAACCAGTTTCAACCAGTTTTCAAAGAAAGAATTGTTCTGTACTAAAGATGGATAAGATCGCTTACTACTCTCAATGCCAAAAAACCTAAATAAGCTATTAATCAACAGAATCTAGATATACTTCAAATTACTAAGGCATGTCTTATGAATGCAAAAAAGATTCAATATTGGAAAATATTTTCAAGGGGATGGAGAGATAGCTCAGTGATTAAGCACATTGGCTGTTCTTGCAGGGGACCTGAGTTTTGTTCCTACATAGCAGCTTACAGCTACCTGTAACTCCAGTTCCAGGGATCTAATGCCCTCTTCTGACCTTCATGGGCTCTACATGCATATGGTACACATAAAGTTATGCAGGCACTCACACATACACATTAAATCAATCAATCAATTAATTTAAATGAATCAATCTTTATGAAAATATTTTCATATAAAGTACTGTAAAGATACTAAGCAGCATTAATCAGACCAGCTCCATAGCTACTCTGTGGTAATTAATAAAATTGAACCCATGGTAATTAGTTACTGTCTTAACTATGTGAAGTTCACATCTCAGCCTCAAAGTCTGCATCTTGTTTAATAGGAAACTTGATGCACTGCTACAGAAATTAAGAACAAGATAAGGGGCTGCTGTTTAACACTCTTCTAAGTATTAGCCATAAACTAACAGAGAAAGAAATCAGGAGTTTAAAATAAATCAAGAGGACAAGGTAAAACTATCTTTTAAAAATATTTTCATTGATTCAAGAAACTCATATACTATATTTTAATCATATTCCCTCCCAACCCCCACCTTGCTACCACCCCCCCACTTCATGGCCTCTATTATTATTTGTCCTTTTTTTAATGCCTATCAAGTCTAATCTGTGTTTCTCCAGTGTTCTCGGGTGTCTGTCTCTTGGTGTCTGCACAGTCAATCATCTACCAGTAAGGAAAACGAACTGTCCCTCTCCCCTCACCTACTAATTGCCAACAGATCCTCAGCTGCTGCTGGTACTTCCTGCCTACCTCCCCGGTGCTGCTGGGACCCTGTCTGTCTTGAGTTTTCACAGGTCTTGTGCATGCTGTCATAAGTGCTGCGGGTTCATATGTATAACTACCCTGTGGTATCCAGACAACAATTTTCTTGTATTCATCTACTGCCTCTGGCTCTTACAATCTTCCTGCCCACCCCCTTCCCCCAACGATCCTTGAGACTTGGGAGGAGAGGTGTGATATAGGGTGTGCCGTTTAGAGTTGAGCACCCTAGGGTCTCTTATTCTTAGCATGTCGATGATTTGTGGGTCTCTGTGATAATTGCCATTTGCTGCAAGAACCATCTTTTGTGAGAGTTAGGGGATGCACCAGTCTACGGGTGTAACAATAGGTCACTATGAGTCCATTTACTATCATATCTATTTAGCAGAAGATAGTAGTAGGTGCTCCTCCATGGCCTGTGAACTGTCTAGACACAGGTTCTTGGCCCTGACAAGTTACCAGCTTTTGACCCAAAAAAGCACCTCAATAAATAAACATTAAAATGATTGATATCTGAATTGAAAATTTGGCAATAATATATAACTATCATAAACAGACATTGTTCTTTAACATATTAAAAAATGGTTCAACTACATTTATGCTGAGTAGTTTGTGTGAAAATCACAATAAAAATTTACCTATTCATTGATTAAAAATAAAATTATAAGCCAGAGATTTGAGAAAACTAATATTAATAAAATGCTAGTGAGAGTAATTTTGCTGAAAGTTTTATTGTATGTGATTTAGTAATACCTATCTAAATTACAGATAGATATGCCAATGGTCTACCGATTCTGCTTGAAGAAGTCAAGTCAAGCAATCCAGTCACCTACTGCTGCATTAAAGGTCACTCCAAAACCTGACTGGCATAGAACAACAGTTTTATTATGCTCACGATCTTCTGTTGGGCAAAGCTCACAGAGCACATGTAATCTCTGCTGGGGTTCAGTTAGAGCAGCTCAAATGACTTACAGACACAGGGACATGTTAAACGGGAACATGTCTGGGCCTCTGGTTATCACCTGTTCCTAGGGTCTCCCCGGTGCATTTGCTGAGGCAGAATGGGCTTTGTCATGCCTTCCCAATGCCACAGAACTCCTCCCCTGGGGACTTTGTGTCCCCGAGTGCACCAGAGTATCATAGAGGATTTAAAGGTGCTGTTGGTCAGCTTTCTTCACCATTTGGATCAGAGTAACCAAGAAGGCAGATTGTATGTGACTGGGATCCTGAGTCCACAAATATTCAAGGTCTTTTTTTCTTTATATTTGTTTTAATATTACACAACACACATTATAGCATAGCTAGCACATTCATTCACTGAAATAACATAACTCTGAATATTTAATAAATAATATGTGGCACCTACATACACAAAACATGATGCTTGACCCGCATGGGGGGGGGGGGGGGGGTTTAGCAAGTGTTGCTGACCCAGAGC